TTTAGAGCTCGTTGCAGTGCCGTTTCTTCACATGCACGTCATTTTGCGCCGGAAGCAGTCGGTCTTCTCGAAGTAGGCCGCGGGCCGGGCTTCATTGGAAGGATTGGGGCCAGCCATGGGGCGGTCAGAAGACTTCCGAGAGCAGGGCCTGGCCCGCTGTCCGGGGTTTAGAGATTCCTGGTTTTAATTATGATGTTTCCTAACCAGCTCGATTTCATACTTTCGGTCCTTAAGTATAAATAACTTGTTTATAAATAATTATTATCATTGGCAGAAGCACTCAAGTGCCTTCGTTAGATGAAGTCTCTTCGTGAGCCAGAAGAGTCGAATGTTATGTTATGATAGAGTATACCTGCAGTACCTTAAAATTTCAAAATAGAGCGATACCTTCTAGTGCGAAAGGCGAGATCAATGTGCGTGACTGTGATCGACCACGCTCGACTGCCCGAGAGGTCTGTAATAGCAAAGTTGAGCAGCCAATTAAACAACACCGCGGCATTTTTGCAACTGTGTGGATGCGCCGAGCACTAAAAAATACCTAGTTCTTCGCTATAAAAAAAAAAGAAAAAAAAACAACAATAATCTTCGCGCAAATATTTTTTTTTTTTTTAAATTACATTTAAACAACATTTTAACCGAAAGTGATTTTAAGCCATTTCATGTAGGAAAGAAGTCGCCGTGGAACGCTACACTTATACACATGGTATAGATCATGGTTACTCGAAACAAGATCAACATAAAGGTGGTGTTACTTTAAAGCTGCAATCATCCTCATAATGTAGATATAATTATGGCTGGCCCATAAGCTTTCTAGCTTTACACGCAAGAAGTTGTAGAATGTTGCTTTTATATTGTTCGGGCCCCGTAATATGGAAAAAAAATTTCTTCATGGAATGCAGTTACACAGTTAGGTGCTTGCGTTTAGATCGAATTTGTTTCCAGCGTATCGTCGAAATTTTAAACAATCCCTTATGTGGACAACCGAGAGGTCAGGGGAATGAAGCTCTCGGCTACTTCTGTCCCGCCGCGTATCTGTATGACGTGCGTCCGGTCCGGCGAACTGCCTCTGATTGCCGCGCTACCAGCGGGCATGGGCAGACGTTGTTTTGTTGTAATCAAATATGATTCATATAATTTATAACGCTAAATAAAGGTAAAGTTGTTCTCCAAGTATAGATAGCTTTTACGGTTGTTATCGTAACTTTCTCTTTTACTTTTCCAACGTGTCTGGGCGAGCCTTCTCTCCCTCCGAACTCGCGCCTCGAAATGTGCTGGCCTCTGGCGCCGGGAAGTCGGTGGACCGTTAAGGTTCTGTTGTACTGCGACGTCGAGCTATCAAACGAAGTGCAGCGCAGAGCGTACAGAAGCTGATTAGTCGCAGATATCGAGTTCCTGCTCGCCGGCCAATGAGAGGCGCACTTAATGCGCTAAACTGCGTTCGCTAGCCCACACCCTCGATTGTCTCCTGTTTCCTCTTCTTCATCGACAACACACAGATACGCTCAACGTCGGAGCATAACAGAGCCGTTATGCCCGGGTCCTACTAGCGCGGCAAACAGAAAGAAACGACAGCGACAAGCCTGAAACCAGAGTATTTTCTGATTTGACAGGCTTTGTAGAATAAAGGAGGCTATTCTCAAACACGAGTATCTGCACGCCAGGGTATCTTTGGCGGGCTTCCAACCACTCGTGCTTATCTCACGCGCACGGAACGACTAAACACCTGCCCATTGTGCAATCGCGAGTGTGCTGCATGTTTGAGGCTTGTCGCTGTCGTTTGTTTTAGTTTGTCGCTCTAGTGGGACTCGGGCATTAGAACAAGCGACAGATGCGAGCCCGCGAGCCGTGAGCTGTGGCGCTTCTGGGAGTACGTCACCGTGAGAAGTTTGTGCCACGTTCGTGCGAGCGCGGTTTTCTTCTCTTTATGGTGGAGACTTGTTGTTTTTCTGATCTGGTTAAGTGTTATGTGTAAGGAGTCAGCCCAATGACGGTCGCGAGCAGAGGACAAAAGACGACGAAGTGAAGACGTTGTTCGGGCAGTGCGTTTGTCGCCATGTTGGCGTTGCTCGCCGTGTTCTGATAATGAACGAAATTATGAAGTAAACACGGGCGACGAGCAAGTTCCCACCCCCGTGGATAACCCCACAACGCAAGCGGACACAAGTGTGTCAGCCCGCGCACCTGACTTCAGCGGCCGCATAGAAGAGATTAGCGGCTCGAACGGCACTTCGTGGACATCGTGGTACGGTTGTCTCCAGTTTTATTTTCAAGCGAACGACGTGACTGATCCAATCAAGCAACGGGCGCACTTCACAACGTTATGCGGAGCACACACCTACGACATTGTGCGTGTCATTGTGTGTGAATTTTTGTCATCCCCACACCACCTGCTGCGCCAAGTAAGATGACAACTACTGCCGAAAGCCGGGACTCAAATGGTTTTGAGGTTTCAAGTTCCAACGGATGAAAGGTAGGCTGTTTTTTGGCCTTCTCCTCTCGCTGCAGTTTTTGATTAAATGTTTGTGCCAACAGAACCTAACTGTCGCTAGTGGAAATTTATATTAATTGTTTCATTTTGTCAATAGCTGCAACGGTTTCAAAACGCAAAACCAAACTCTATCATTGTTTCCGATTCCCCTCGTTCAAGTCCCTCGTAGCGATAAATATGTGTCATTGCCGAATAACGGGAGACTTCTCTAATATCAAGTTCGAGCACATGCACACATCAAAAGATGGTAAACTTGTTGCAGTGAGTTGTTTATTTGAGACTTTTGTAAGCGATTCACGGGTCTGTTCGCGAGGAGTAAAAATGAGCCTAAATATTTTTCGATCAACTGAGAATAAGCGAGGAGCGATCCATACTGGTTTCCCATTTCGTTCAGCAGTGACGCACACTTAACTTTAAGTAATAAGATCAAGAACTAATACATGTTCAAGATGAAGACCCAGTGCAAGGAGAGGGGCTCTGTTTTCTAACCACATTGCTTAGTTTCCTTCAGTTGCAAGACACTGTCGTCGGTCTTTACTTATGTAATCAAATTCGAGATGTTTTAAAATTAGCGAGGAGGAATTTAACTCAAGGACGAGATAAACACAGAGAAGACACCAGTATTTAGGGTCGTAGTATTCAACTTGAAGGGTCGTTCTCTGAAAGGAAATACAGTATTCAATGCTCACTGTTTTCACATAACCATGTAAACATAGAAAGGCCAATCAAGCAATTAGTTCAACTTTTCTTTATATGTTCCACACCTGTGGCTGGAAGGCGCAAGGCTTGTGGATATACGGCAAGAAGCTCGAAAACGAGCACGAACCTAGAGACATTCTATATAAATTTAGTGAAGTGTCTCTGCAAGGTCGCATACCATGACCTTCATTACACAAAATCATAAGTTTTTATCCTGTTTTGCTGTAATTCAATTCTTCGATTCTTGTGTGTCAAATAGTGAGAAATTTTCTATGTATTTTCTACTGCCTGTGGAATAACAATTGATGTAAAGGAACAAGCATTGCATATTTTTTGTGTATGTGTCACTCTTCTTGCTTTGCTAGGCTTCTGCGGCTTGCTGCTAGTTTTCGTGTTTCAGTTCTTGCTCCTGTGCGTTTCAACGGACATTAATCAGCATTGAAACGCGAAAACCAGCAGCAAAGCAGCACAAGCCTAGCAAAGCAACACGCAATCCGGGGAAAAACAAAACAAAACAGCTACAATTTCAATTTTTAGGTTAGGTGGCGCAAGCTATCGCCCATCCATCCAAACACAATTGCACTGCCCTACGTTTTCGGTTTTGTTTCACCGCACCGACATTTTGCCTTTCGTACGGCCCTCCGGGCACCAGGGGATTCAAATGGTGCTGCGTACTCCCAAGGTTTTAAAACCCTTGATAGTTCTTTTTACGAATAGCGGCAATCAATACAAATAACAAAGCACAATCCACTGGAACAAAACGAAGTAATTCAGTTCAGTCTTCTGCTGTGCGCTGCCAATCGCTTCCTAAAACCAGCACTGTCGTGCAGTCGGCGTTTCAAAGAATGTCGCTACTTGTAGGAAGCTCTTGTATCTAGCTACTTCACCAGGTTTTAGCTGTTCGGGTCCTATGGGCGGTATAGGAAGTTGCACTACTCTGGCGACGTCGTCTACTCCGGACGAGCATTGGAAGTATGAATTCCCACTACAAAAGCCAGTCTCTTGGCAATCTGCATTATTTGTATGAAATGTTTGTGTACAGGTTGTCGCAGTTATCCCGCGCCTCCGCAGCGGCGCTTTGTTCTAGAAAATTGGTCTATCGATTAAAGTGGAAAAAAACGCAGGCAAGGGAATGAATAAGTTCCATGATACAAAAAAAAAAAAAGCGAGACTGGGAACAAATCAGAAAATATCGGACAAGCATACACACAATCTCAAAACACAGCTACCGCTCTTATTTCACATTGTCACTAATATGCACTCGTGCACCCTCCATGCGATGAGAATGGTTACCTTCGGGGAGGGTTGACGATTGTATAAATGTGACAATGTGAAATAAAAGCAGTAGCTGAATTTTAAGACAGTGTGTGTGCATGTCGGTTTTTTTTTTATTGTTCCGAGTTTTGTTTTTTATTGCGAAATTTGTTTATGCCTTCCTCTGCGCGCTGAGACTTTTGATTTCGCCACGTATGGCAAGATTCCTTTCCCTCCAAAGGACTTGGCGCAAATATCAATTTCGCCAATCAAAACGCGGATAAGGGAGACAACCCCTTCAGAATGGCCATGGTAGGCGTACAGTAGTCGATATAGCGCATAAGTAACACGTTGTGTACAGTTTTCCGCACAAGAGTACAAGCACCTCTTTTCCTTAAAAGGTTTTTTGGGAATACTAAGCCAATTCACGGTGGTTCTTCCCTTGGCTCTGATTTTAACCCTGCATACCAGCTCACGACACAAGCAAGGTAAACAACAGAAAGTTCATTTTATATTACCGTCTTCAGGTTCGCTGCTTTCGGATCATCTCAATTCCAGCTTGACCAAGCTCGCATCAAGCTTTTATTATCACAAAGTTCGTCTCGAAAAATAAGCACAGCAGCGTCCACTGTTTCTGATTAGTATATGTACAAATATAGACATTATTTATTATGATACACATTCGTAAAGTCGAAGGAGTGCCGCATTGTCTGTTGTGCACACTGCCTTTGTCATATTTGCAAAGTCTGCTATTCTCGCTGCCGTCACTTCACAAAAGCTGCAACCATCATCATGTCCGGAAGGCTTGCATGCCCATAATCACTAAAAGCTGTGGCCGGAGGTTTCTCGTAGAGTCAAACACGCACGTTGATTTCTCTCACAAAGTCTGGTGGCAAGAAGAATTTCAGATGTTCAACTTGTCCTCGTAGATGGCGATGACGCACATGAACGCTACGCCGGCGAGGACTCCGATGTTCTTCACGATGAACATCTTGAAGGGACTCTTTCCTCTGTACTGCTTCAGCTCTGGTAACTGGAAAATTATTGTTTTTATTAGACAAGAAGCATAATATTCTTGATTACCAAAATAAAGTAATGGATTATTAAGGTAGCATTCTAAAGGTTACCTTCGGGATGAAATCATACAATGCGTTAAAAGGGCAGTTGTCTGTACACTTCCCGTTAGTCTACTTTCCTGCAGAGCACTCAGAGAGTCAATTATGGCGAACGACGAAGACAGTTTATCATGGTCACCATCAATCATAAAATGATTATAAATGATTATGAACTATCTTTGTCGTTCGCTGTAATTCGCTCTCCTTGGAAATCAATGCCGCAATTACGTGCACACCTGAAAATGAAATCTGCAATTTGATATCAAGCATGACGTGAGCAAGTGAAACGTTGCACTTAGTGTCACAGGAAAACTTTCATTAATAGGTCTAGAAATATTACCAGTTTCGTCATTTCCCAAGCTTCCTCGGTCGATTACGAGCATTGGCGCTTCGAGGGCTTTACGTTAAAAAAAACGCACAGGAGTGTTTAGGAGTGAGGACCTGAGGCTTTACTTTTCTCTAAATAAAGGAAGCATTCTAGAGTGTGCTCAGGCAGCATTTCTCCTGTACAGAGGTAACCGTACATGTCACATTTCGATGATCTGGTATCACGGAAAAAACGACAAATGTGAGAGTCACACCACATGCCGCATTTGACGCAAACAGCGCCTGATAGCTTTGGGCTATAACGATGAGTGTACACTTTCAGAAAATCCTGAATGCATACTGTCCCGCGACCTTCTTGTTGATTAGTCAAATAAATCTCTTCTACTCAGTATATCAAATGGGATGGGCGTGAGGAATCACAACGAAGAGCATGCTGTCTCAACGGAACAAAATTTAAAAGAGAAACGGCCAGGGATGCATTTAAAGCCCTGACCCCTTAAGAAGCTAACATTTTTAGCACAACCTTGGCGGTCACTCGGAGGAATCGAGAAGCCAACGTCCAGTGTCACCGTTTTTTTCTGTTTTTTTTTTTTTTTTTTCTGTGGCCAAAAAAAAAAAGTGTTTATTCCATCTGCCCCTGAAAATTCGTGACCACTACAAAATCGGAATACCGGTCAACCTTTCCTTTGTACAAAGCAAATAAGGACAGACCGGTGAATCGTGTTCCAGCACATCGAATCTCAGCATAAGCTCGGGGGAGGCGGGGGGGGGGGGGGGGGGGGAGAAGGGGCGTAAATATACTACCCCCCCCCCCAAAAAAAAAAAAAGAAAGAAAAGAAAATTAGTGGGAGAACGTATCTACCATGTCCACGAGCGAGACGTAAAGAAAGATGCCGGCGGTGACAGTGAGGATCCAGTTGCGTGCGACGATGTTTTCGCCCACTTGGAAGCCCGCGTAGAGGCCCGCAAAGGCGGCCAGGGCCGAGAGGAAGTTGAGAAAGAGGGCCTTCTTGTAGCCCAGCCCCGTCGAGATCAACACCACGAAATCTCCTGCGAGAGAACAAAAGAAGACGTTTTGGGATATTGCGCATTCATCGTTGTGCCCAAGACTAAACCTTGAAATTGAAAAGGGGCCTCCCCGTAGGGCCGTAGCTTTCAATTAACCACTGACGTTTCGCGAAGAGACTTATCTCCATGACATACGCAAAGAAATTAAGTTCCTTTCAGAAACGTTGAGGTTTCCAGTAGGAACAACGTTAAAATAGGAAATATTTTAGTGTTCTTCGTAGATGCTTGACAACTTTTGTATATCACAAGGCCGACACGTTTTTTGGCGTCGAAATATTTTGGAAGAATTGCAATGGGGATACATTCCTGACGGTTACTATTTCATTTCGAACAAACTTTGGGGAATGTATTTGAACTAGTAACTAACATGAAAAATGGGTGGACTTCGGCACAATGCTTTCTTTCATGAAGCAGAATGAAGCAGAATAAAACAAAACAAAAACAAACAACGAGAAGTATATAGTTCAAACATTTAGCTTCTAAACATTGTATCACGTTACGGGCTCTCGGCTGTTTTGAAGGCCAGCTCAAGAAGTAGGCAGGGGAGCGTTGGGTCGTGGTCCTTTCCAGTAAGTATCAATCAGTGTCTACGTTTTGTAGAATAACTGCGTGTAGTCATTTCTTAAGAAGGGCAGACAAAACAAGAAGCGAACATATATTTAAAATAATTTCTTTAAAATTAACCTGAAACACTTCTTATTTTGTATTTCTACATCCTGAGGACACCAGTCCGTTACTCATGTGTTTCCAGGATCTCAATCATGCATCTAATACGTTTTATCATTGGCTCTCTTGGCTATTGGATCTTGGACGATTTTGTTATATATGATGTTATTTTGTTACGCTTTACAGACTTGTTTGAAAAAAAGAACCGGGAAAGCAGCACTTATAGTTTATGCAGGTGCGTTTACAGCCAGGGGGACAAGCATAGGAGCTATCGTAACGATCAGTCGGCTAGGTAGGCAACATTTGTTAATTAAATTTTGATATGTAAAAATAGACATTTGGCTTTAATTAGAAACTTGCTAAGCATCATCTAAAGCCACTGAGGACAACGCAGGGCAGCATTTTACAATACTCCGTAAAAGAGCTCCATTTTGACGCGTTTCGCGTTTTGTGGTTTCGTGTTGGACGCGTTTTAACCAGAACAAAACACAGGGCCAAGAAACGTGCCAGGGTCTACGGCGGGCGGCGACGCAGACGACCAAGTCGAGTAGCGGAGCGGGTTTGGCGCTCGGGTTGAGAGATGGCGCAACCTCCTTATCCAGACTGCTCGCGACCATCGTGGTTTATTAAATTGAACACAATTTTTTTTTAATGTACCTTTGGTTAAAAAAGAAACGAGGACAATAAAAGCTAAACTTAAAGTGAAAAAAAAACGCGTTCGCATAACGACGGCGCTTCTGCTGCCAACGGATTTCGTTCGCGTGCCGTCTGCTTTCTTTCACTGGTCGGTTACACCTTCGGACGCTGCTCCCGATGCCATCTATCAATACACGCGCCAAACACACCCCGCAACTCGACTTGGTTGTCTGGGACGCCGTCCGCCGTTTACCCTGACAAGTTTTTAGACCTATGTTTTACAGAGAGGGAGCTATGCTTTGTAATTTTACAAGAAAAAAAAACGACCTGTGATAGACACCTCTGACGAAACGTTTAGATTGCTACGTGCAGGCGTCAATTTTTATTCTAGATCGAGCCTGGTGACTTGGGACACCCTATATTTATAAGCACACACTCTGAAAAGCTCCTGAACCGCAATACATTTCAAACACTTATGAATACACCTTCTTCAATCAGTTTAACTAGAAAGAAGAGCAAAGAGCATGCGCCCCCATAAAATGTTAAAGACCGCCTTACTTCTTAATGAAAATGATTAACCGAAAATTAACATTACTTTTTTCTCAATGAATCGTATTGCAGCGTGTACTTGGGGACATCCGAGTGTGTCAAGGGAACATAAATTCAGATTTGTATATATGTTCCTCACCGAACTCGTGGGGCAGTTCGTGGCAGAAGACAGCAATTGAAGTGGACAGGCCCCCTTTGAGACCCGACGAAAAGGCGGCTCCGATGGCAAGGCCGTCTGCCACGTTGTGAATAGCGCCTCCGATGATTACCACCGTCGCCAGCGTTGACATCCCTGTGAGAGCAAAACGGGCATCCTGTCAACTGAGGCAGCTAAGTCAGAAAGAGCCATGGATGTGCATCTTTTGTACTTCATCTGAAATCTACGTTCGTTCATTGCCACCCATAAGAAGGTACGGAAATGTATTTCAGGGTAAATTAAGGGCAATATTCTTGTTTCTATGATCGGTGACAGGTTAAGACGTCAGGTCGAGTGAAAGAAAGTCCTGGAACGAGGAAGCAGGTGATTGCTGTAGAGTAGAGAAGGAAACATCCCCCTCGTTCAAGCATTCTGCCTGCTTCCTCCTCCCCAGCCTTCCTTTCCCTCGCCCTGAACTCTTAACCTGACACCCACTATAGTTTCTTAAATAGTGATGACACTTGTTCTCGTGGGCACCGGTAGTGAAATAAACATACTGAAGCAGACTTCTTGAAGTGTACAAAGGACATCAAACCTGGCTTATTATTTATTGCTCTAGCTTGAAAAGTACAGCTTAAGGCGTTAAACAACTTACGCGTTTCCTCTGGGAAATTATTCTAGGCCATGCCATTAGACATTTTCCTCAGCATTTACTTTCTCATGGAACACTTGGACGCGATTACTGGACCCTCTTGAGCGTGTCGAACAAATACCGAACTATATAAAAATCGCTGCATTTAGAGACGCGGGGTGTATTGGAGCAACGTGGATCCAACACAAAGCTTATTGTCCCGGCAGGTAGTGATTTTAAATATTTAATAATACTGATGTACCATAAGTACCAATGAAAATATAACCCTCTGTGGCAACGCAGGTGCGGGCATTTTAAAAGGTATACTAGGTACCAACATTATCTGTACCCAAAATGACATATGAATCCGTTTTCTACCGATATTTAATTTTGATGTCACCGCTACCAGCAGCTAGACATATTTCATCATCCGTGTTCTTAGATATTGGGCGCAATTTAGTACTGTCATGGACCAGTGATTACGATAGCAGAAAAAATATATGTGGAATCCCAAATAGGCTCACCGCAACAAACACTACTGGACTTCAGAACAGGTGCTTGGGGACTATCTTGAATTGCCAGCGAATTCGTGCTTTGGGTCTGGGCCTGAAACGTAAGAACAACGAACAAAGGTTAAGTTTGGTTCTGCATGATATGCATGCTGAGTGCGACAACTCTGAATCACTTAACAGGAATAAAAACTGCGTGGTCAAACGAATTCGCACAGCGATTATTTTTCTTATCAATTAACACTTTGAGTCTACGGCTCAATATGTTCAAAACTGGTTTGGTGTCCTTCTAGCGCGTTCTAATGTTAGGTGTGGATAAAAGGTGAAGAAATAAATTATATGTGTCTATAAGGTTGTTCACCCAACAAGATAAGAATGTGCCATTGCGCACTTAAGACGACCAGAGCAGAATGAATTTATTAGAGAACACAAAAAGTAAAGTAGCTGAAATCACGTAATGTACTAGATCAGAGGAATACAATTGTACATAGTATTGTTTACCATGGTAGGATGTGCCCAACTTTCATGCACAACTTTACATGCTAAAAATAGGTATATTCGCCAATAACAGCTCGTCGGTTCTGAGGTTTCGTTTCACACATGTATCTAGAGCCGACTTCCAAAGATGGCAAAAATCAATCACAACTTGTGCATCGTGCAAACAACCACTCAGCCCTCCAGTGCTAAGGTAAGGCAGTTCTGGAAATTAACTGAATGATTCATTCAATTCCAATTAGCCCACTCACAAGCTCAATGTTCGACTCTGTTTTTTGCGAGACCTTGGTCATGCGCAGTTCGTCCGGAATGTTCTTCGGGAGGTGACTGTGGCCGTGACCATGGTCGTCATGATCGTTCTGCGGAAAAAAAAGTAAGACACATAAAATTGTTAGCAGCGAATGTCGACAAGTTTCAAAGTGAATAGGTAATGCATTTGAAAACTCTGCGTGCTTGCCTTATTATAACAAAGTTAAATAGCACATTCAGCATAAATACTGGGTGATCATGGAGTCACCTCGTAAAGATCCGATAGGAGCCCTCAAGAATGGAATTACGCAGTCTTCAGGAAAGGACACAAACATTGCCTCACGCTCAACGGTCCAAGCTACGTCGTTCCATGTGTCATTGTAAAATACGATCTGAAAACACCGCCCAGAGAGTGGCCTCACACCTAGTACTTGAGGCGCGAATTTTCGCTTAAAGGGGTCATGAAACAATATCGGGTTGGAATGTTCATTAATTTGCAGAGGCCTAGTCTGGCGCAACTACAGGGTGTGACAAAAAAAAAATTTACAGGGTTTTTTTTTTTACCGCAAAAATAAACTACTCGTCGCCGAATGCTCATTCTAAGCCCAAAGGTAGCACTACAGGTAACTACCAGGTGCCAAAGTTTGAGCCCGATCCGATACCTAAACGTTATGCCTGATTTTCTGAAAATTTCAATGGAAAAATGGCGGCCGACGGAGTTTTCAAATACATGGGGCTCTATGGCACCAGAAACCGAAAGCGGGCAAAAATGGGCTCCATTTTCCCATTGAAATTTTCAAAAAATAAATTGTAACTTTTGATTAAGTTATCAGATCGGACTGAAACTTTGGCATCTGGTTGTGACCTCTAGAGCTACCTTCGGCCGGAGAATGAGCGTTCGGCGATGCATAGTTCATTTTTGCAGTAAAAAAAAAAAAAAACTAATTTTTTTTTTTGTGACACTCTGTATACTCGTAGACACCGCCACTGATTTAGACGCTTCTTTGCCACTGTAAAATTACGAGAAAAAAAGGGGACTATTTCTATCAATCTTGCCTTTGCAAAGCTTGATGATGTAATTGTGAGATCGAAACTACCCGTTTGACAACCGTCCAGCGCGGCTCAGGGATTGGACACGAGAACTCCGTGAGCATTCGACTTCGACTCGTAACATTCAATGCCTCGGCGGACACTCGGGAAGTGGACCGCGTCCAACCACTGCGGTGACAAGAATAGCCAAGCTCTAACAATGCCTGGAGCTCAGCGGATGTTTTATACTTTGCCAATAACAGCCCGTGTCTATCATTAACTTTGGCGACATAGGATAGCACCAGGCCACCTGGCCGCTTGTTCTGACTTTGAGTTGAGGGAATGAACGATGCTCATATTTACCGAATTTTTTTGGCGACTGCCATTGCCTACAAAAAATAACAAAAATATCGCAACTTTTTTTTTTACCTTATTAACGGTAGGAAGTGATTCTAAGTGGTATTTGGCAAAGGTAGAAAAATCGTTTCATGGCCCTTTTAAAGCGCTGCCTTTTAGAGTCAAGGCGCTCGGGTTAAAAATTAAAGTGTCTTTAAAGGTCCAAATATTGACCTAAGTATGAAGCGTTTACTTTGATATATCTTGTTCCACCAGGAGGAACTCAAGTAGTTGCCTTAATACCTAACAGGAAAGCCCATTGTTCTCCATTTCCACGCAATTAAACTATATCTGGTTACTCTGCTTGCAAGATTATCTGCTTAGTAATATGCTCCACACAGCGTATACGTAACCACTAACTAAAGTTCGAGCAGAGACGTTACATAAATTCAAAGTTGAGTTGACATGCAATCAACTCATAAATAAAGTTACATTGTCACAACTACAGTGTTGGCGGTAATGCGTTGCTTTTTTCGGCAACGTAGTAATTCGTACTCGTTACTTTTTTTCTTTCAAAACAGTAACGGGTGACGCCCTTAAGTAACTTATTTCGAATAATGTGTAACGTAGTTACGTTACTCGTTACTTCTTCTACTCAAGACGTAAAAAAACATTGCACTTATCTTTTTTTTTGTGTGTTTCCGTCGTCAAGCCATGTGAATTTTTGAGTTTTTTTTTACGTTTTTTTACGTTTTTCTTTTGTGCGTATTTAGGTGAAACCGTTAAAATAATAAAGTTATTATATTCAATTTGTGCTAAAACATAGTGTTCCATCAAAACAATAAATGGTGTTCACTCAGAATTTAAAAAGTAAAAAAATGTAACGTGCGTTACTTTTTAACGGTAACGTGTTCCATTTATATTGAGGTAAAGTAGATTGGTAACGCGTTGGTTTTATTTGCCAGTAAAGAGTAACGTATTTCGTTACTTTTTTGTGGTAACGCCTACAACAACGCACATATGTTCCTGGTAAGGGTCGTCGATGCCCACAAAACGTGGCCAATTTAACTTCCCATTACTCGGAGAATATGCCATGACATCGAGGTGTGGCGCGATCGGTGGTCAATGGTTCAATTTCTAACGCGAGAACCGTATTGCAGCTATAGCGCCTCATTTTGGTACTCTGTTCACAGAAGCTCCCAAACGGCAAAAATTACAGACGAAAGTCCACATGACATCCTCGGGACGTCCGTAGAACCACGTGTGCTGCCAGGGAGAGTTTAAAGCTATTACAATACGCGTAGCGCTAGTCTTAGGATTAAATCAATGTGAACGCGAGTATTTCGCAACACAACTTTGAGAACGAAGGGCACTTAACCCAGGAGAGAGGTTACCTCAATAACATAACTAGGATACAGTTACGCGATTCCTGAATGTTTGTTTTCAGATTGGAAAGTATATAGAACTCTCCCCACTTAGGGTGACTTAAATACGTCTATTTTGTTACAGGGCTCTGGAAGTAAATCTTTAGACGACGGTACCTCTTTGGTGAAGATGACACTGAGTGCCTCGAAGACGAAGAGGCCGTAAAAGGCGCCGATGAGCCCCAGCTGCTTCCAGAAGTAGGGAGGCACGAGTTCCTCTTCGTCGCCGTGTCCGTGGTCGTGACCGTGGCTATGGAGGTGTAGGTGACCACCCTGGTGATCTCCGGCGTCATGGCTGTGCAGGCCGAGGATCTGCAGCCATGACAGCGAACGTGAGATGAAACGTGGGCTAAGATTAGCGCGAAAGCGACTACACAGCAGCGTACCTAGTATACAGAACGACCTACAAAGGAACGCCGTTCCTGCAAAGCGTTCCATTTAGGAGAAACGGACGAACGCCGCCGCCTCATTTTGCGTCGGAACGGAAACTGGAACGGAAGCTCGTTACGTTTTCGAGGGAATGATAGCAGGAACGGGGTTCCAATTATCAACTTTGGCCATATTTAGCAGGCATATGGGCTTTTATTAGCGACTGTTTCAAGCTCCGACTTCAAGAAATAAGGAAGTCTCCGAGAGACAGTCGGAAACAAAGAACTCGAAGAAATGCGATCTCGGCGACTCGAAACGTAGTTCGACGTAAAAATTTTCACTTGCTTGCTTTATTTGTTTACGCATTATCCCGCATAGTATTTGATACCAATACGCACGTTAATTTAACCATTGACTGGCAACAGGCAGTATAAAACAAACTCAGGACAAGGTTCAGTTCATTTTTAAAAGAAATGTTCGTCGTCCCTTGCCCCGAGTGTGTTTTATTCTTTCTGTTGCCAGTCAATGTTACCAACCCGCTCTTCAGTTAATGCGAAGGTAACCACTTCTTACCATCTTAGAAATGTAACAGAAGCGTGTCCTTTTTTGAGTCACTGGAAGTTGAAACGGGAACTCGTTCAAAAACTCAGAAGGAACTAAAAACGAAGTTCTGTTCCTGTTTTGTAGGAACCTGCAAATGACTACTGTACAGTACGCTACTTCGATTTACTTGTACCTCCTGCACCGGTGCAGAAAACTGCAGGGTGGTATATTTGCAATAGTATCTCAATAGACACATAGGGAATACACTGCGCCACACTTTTCTGTACAGTTGCATGAAGTGCAGGTAAATAGAACGAGCCTAGTGCCTTATTTTATATGAAGTATCACTGCTACCGGGTAGTCGGGTCTAGAAGTAAACTTGACAGCCGAGAACATACGCCTAAAATAAACAGGAGGCATGTAGGTTAAACCTGTATTCGAAGACTAGTTAACACGAAGGAAGAAGAGACCATGCTTAAATGTCTTTGTGCATACTGATCGCTTTCGTTTCTTGTTCATTTTTTGTCAGTTTATTTCTCTCGGCTTGTTGTCCCTTTGTCATTATTCAGTCACTTTTTTTTTTACGTTATTTACGCATGATAATTTATAACATTTTGCATTAATGAACACACCATTCATTTTCATGTTACTCTTTCGGGAGACATAAAGTTTACAATTGAGAAGAAGCATGCCAGACCAGATACCTTTGTACTTGGTATCCCACGATCATTCCAAGCTTGTCAAAGCAAAAAAAAAAGCTTACAATTTTATAAAACGCAAAACGAGTGTGCAAGGAAAAATTTGGTGTTGACGAAGTTTTACTAAAGAAGCATTTATATCCCCTGGTAATTGCATCTATGTAAACACTAAAAAGTAAATTCTGGCATTAAACACGAAGTCTCCTTGCTCAAGCGAAAAATCGGTAAGTTTTTGTTTGCCCATCTGCGATCAGTATGAATGAAGTTTAAATAGCAAACGAAGTTTGGTCAATGACCCCATTGGCGAATGACCAGCGATCAGGTGACTCCACTAAATTATTGTGAAGAAATGTCTTGCCTGTGGTATAAGATGAAGCATGGCATCACCCGTCATGGTGCCGAAAGAAAGGCCGATGAATCCCATCATGATGTAGTAATATGCGTATCTGGCCAAGCATGGCAACAGCAAGACGCCCACCAGAGAGCACAGACTGATGATGAACACGGCCAGCGTGCCATACCCGTACACTGGAAGGAGGACAGCGGTATAGTTAATTTAGTGCTACAGTAGACGCAATAAGTTGTTCTCGTGCTCCAAGTACACATCAGAGGAAGTTCACTTCAATTCAATTTATCTTCATTCACTCCGGTTTGGAGAAGGAGACAAGGAAAAACTGCTACATTGCGTAGCTTGGTAGATCCCTGCCTCCCATACAAACTTGGGCAGATTACTCGGCATTTGCGAAAAACAAGAAAAGAAAAAAAACCTAGAGAACATAATGCAGCTTTTGATATGATGAACAGTACATACCTTTTAAAAGAATATTTGTTGTTAAAATACACTAGTTGGTCTAATTTGGTTATTTGACATATTCTCTATGTGGATATTGTTTTTAAAGAGTTCATTAATGGTAGATGGTACAGTATACTGGAGCATTTGAAATCCGTAATTGGTTCTGGGATATGGGATTGAAATATTAAATAACGTTACGATCAAAAAAACATGAGAACCGAGACCGCTCGTTTGAGCTTTGTGCTCAGCGCGGGACAGCAAGCAACAAGGGACTTTTGAGGGTGCAGCATCGCACGTCATATGAGACTACGTGCCACAACAAGAAAAGACGCTCCCGTCAGCTTCCTGATAAAACACACAAAATACTTGCTAATGAATAATCGCAGCATTAAGCAGGAAAAGTCTTAAGTATATTAGAGCTGTATTCAAGATAAAATGAATGATTGCAGATAGGTTTTTATGGCAGTATTTCTGTGCTTCAACTATATCTATAAATAATAGCTTCTTCGAACGATACTGCGAAAACAGATAATTTATTTATGCGGACATTTCATGAAAGTTGTTCATGCCGCTAAGGATAACTTCAGTAAGACCCGACTCGAAGCCTGGGAGCAGCAGTCGATCAGGAGCTAAGAGATTCAGCTAAGGTTCCAAGCGACGCCGGCTGCCAGTTTCAGGCTGCCAGGAAGTTTATTTTCAAGCATATCACTGGACGTATTTTGTAAGATTGTATTCAGCTCTTTCGTGTTTAAACAAATAATTAATTTTGTTTCCCTTCGGTACGGTTTAAGTTATGAATTACGACGTTTTACTGTTTCGACGTTAAACGTATCCATAAGTGCCATATTTTAAGAAGCATTATGTCCATGCAGAAAATGAACATAATTATCTCATCTCTCCTACGGTTTCACCTAAATGCTCACCAGACAAAACGCAAGAAAAAACGCAAAAAAATTCAGCAATTTACCTAACTTCGCGTCTAAAAGGAACGGAGGTTCGATTTTTCTTTTTATGTTTCAGAGAGATTATGTAACGAGTAACGTAACTACGTTACCCGTTGCTCGAAATCAGTAAAGTAAGTGCGTTACCCGTTACTCTTTTGAAAACGTAACGAGTACGTTACCCGTTACCAAGAAAAGTAACGCTTTAGCGGTAACGTCGTTACTTCTAACCCGCTAGCGCCAACACTGCAGCAAGTACTGAAATAGAGTCCAAATATGAGTCTCAAGGTTTTATTTCTTAATTATGACTGCAGCAAGCCCTCCCGGTATTGAGCCAATGCGGTACAGAACCTGGAGCTTGCCAGGCTGCGCTCACTGGCAAAGATAGTCACCATGGCTAGACCAGCTAAGAGGTATTCGTCATACAGAAAAAAAAAAAACTCGAGGTAAATCCTAAGCACTTCTTATGAGTTGTGAATGCGAAAGCATGAATGTCGTTCTTGGCGCCGCGGCCGCTTCTGATCCTCTCGGTGCTCTCGGCGCCTCTGCAGTTTCTGCTCCGACGCGGGCACGCGGCGCCATGTTGTGGCGCTAATTGAAACTGAGGCGCGGCGGCTCCATATTCCTTACTGCCGTTTTGCGTGGCTTTTTGCTCGGTTTCAATACTGGAATGCCTCAGATCGCGGCTTTGGGAATTTATCTGCCGTTGGGCGCGGCTAACGATGTCGACTCTGTGGGGCGGTTAATGCTTTCGCGTTAAAAACGACGTATTACACGTGACATAAGGAACAGTAGAGCGTTCTTTTCTCTGTCCCTGTCTTTTTGTGCGCTGTATTGTTCACTCTGTAATCGAAACCAACTCGACTAGCTTATACGTCCCTTCTATAGTATTACAAGTAGTTACATTCGGCGTTGGTGGGTCGCCGGGACGCCTTGAAGCTCTGCCTGCACACGTCGGTTACAGCCTGCTGAATGAGTGCGGGACAGAGTTGGAAAAACTCGTGCTTGCTGATAGTGCCATTCCCAGCCTGGCCAAACTTCCTGATGAGCTCGCGGGTAGTCCAACACTGAAAAGCACATAAAGATGTTGCTATTTAAAATGTTCCAAAATTATTGTACTATAGTCGTACAGTAATTTTAATCGAGTTAATGAGTTCTGTCTACAGAATAAGATTATTATTGCAGAGCCACGACTCGCTGAACCACTAAACGTCATCTTTGCATTACCGTCGAAGCTAATGTTGCTGATTCCGTGATCTTTTTCTAGAAATTTTTTGGGGTCTAGAATTGCGAGCAATGAAACTGAAAAAAAAAATATATAAGAAATTTTTGTGCGAACATTTTTTTCTCCGGGTGATTGAACTTTGGCTTATTTTTTTATTTTAAAACACGAAATGCTTTTTATCGGTACACCCAATCCCTAAGTCTTGTCCGTCCGTCCGCTCGAGTATTTCTCTCTAAATTTAAGGAGAAAAATTAATTGGTGCTTTGGTTACGCGATGCCAATACTGCCATGTGACCTGACGTCACGTGATCTACACACCAATTCAGTTTCCCCGATAAATATAGGGGCAAAATTCACGTCTTGTAACCTAAACACCAATTAATTTCTCTGCTAAATATAGCGAGAGAATCAACTTCACATTGAGATGGTCACTTTTCCCGCTAAATTTAACGAAAATTTGATGGGATTTGAATTGACGCCACGACACTTGTACAGCAATTTAGTTTTCCCCCTACATTTTGTAAGAAATTGACTTCGCGCGACCTGATGCCAGTTGACCTATGCCCCAAATTAGATTCCCATTTAAACTAGTCGAAGAAATTGATATCCCGTGAACTAAACACCTTCAGTTTGTCCGCTAAATTTAGCGGGGAAATCGACGTCACGTGAGAGATGCACTCAGTTTGTCAGTCAATGTAGCGGGAAATTGATAAAAATAAAGGTTTTCCACTCCCCCGAAACGACTGTTTGAAGTCCTCTAAACACTTTTAACCAATCGCACCTTAAAAACTGTCTTTCATGCATTATAAGACTGGAAGTTCAAATTTATTACAAGTTCTATTTTTGTTTGTAACTGCGTGAAAATATACATGCATAGAGTTTGGTACTTACACAAGATATGTGTGACCTGTAACACATTTAATGCATGATGCCCAGTGAGCGCGTGTTCAAACATAATATGAAGTTGAAAATTAAGTTAGGCTGACGTGCTAAAGGCGGAAAATATTTGTGCATCGAAAGAACATTGTACACAAAATAAACATTTAAGTTTATTCTCTAGAGTATTTCCCCTTTTTCCGATATTTTACTTCTTTTTACCTACAACATAGGAAACCACGAGCGTGACTGCATCTATACGAAGAATCATTTCTAAAATATAAATCACATACCTTGGACGCGGAGCTATTGTGCTTGTGGCTTTCGTGATCACTTGGCTCCAAAGGCACGTTTCGCCTTTTCCGAGCTTTGCCTAAACATAAAAAGTTGCGGGTAAATGTTAATTGATCATGTGCGGAACAGAAATCTAGTATAGCGCGTTAGCCACTGAGAAAATTGCAGTCCTTTCCAACCTGCTGATGCTCACCATGAGGACCATGTCCTTCGTAGAGGCGCCCTTCAGCCCTCGGCGATTCGAGATGATCGTGATCATGGCCCGAATGGTCATGGTTATCGCTGGCTTGCGTGTGGAACTCCTCGAACCCCTCAGACGTTGCTGGGTTGACAATGCTTGGAGAGGTGTATGATGTGGAGCTTCCATATGACGCACTAGCCGTTGTCTTGTCTAGCGATTTGTTCTCCGGTTGGTGGTCATGATCCGAGTGATCGTCGTGGTCGTGATCATGGTCATGGTCATGACTGTGGGTATGATCGTCACTAGAATGTTGTTGATCGTTACGTGTGTGGTCATGGGTGGAATGTGTGGATACGTGATCGTCACTGTGATCATGATCATGATCATGTTCTTGTTCGTGGCCATGGCCAGTTCTTAGTTTATGTTCCTGCTTGTGATCACCTTCCCGTGAGCCGTCGTGTTTGTGACCGAGTTCATGATCCTGTTCGTGTGACCCTTCATGTTTGTGATCGTGTTCGTGTTCATGTTCATATACAGATTCATTTTTATGATCATGCTCGTGATGATGGGCGTGTTTTGGATCCTCCCCACCTTCGCTTCCTTCATGGCTATGTCCATCATGGCTGTGGTCATGAGAATGTTCGTGGTCGTGACCAATGTCTTGAGATGCCACTCGAAGACGTTTCAACAAGCGCTCCAGCCCTGAAGCAGGACCAAAATTATGCAACGAATGTACTTATATGTCTTCTAGTATGTTTCAGATATCTCACATACCTTGCTGTGTAATCACTTCTGTACTGTTGTCTCCATAACGCTTGAACAAATCTTCCAGAAAGTCAGTTACGGCATCACCGACTTCAATGCACCTTCCTGAAAGTAAATTCATACTTGACGATTATGAAGTGTGAAGTGCAACCTAGGCATACGTACTGAACAGAAATAATTATATTTAGGTCCCTTGCGCTCACTATAGTGCAATGTGTAACAGCTTCAACAAAATAAAAGTTATCGCGTCAAATGTCTTCTTTTCACGTTGCCAGAGTATTTACGTTTTCCAAACGTCGCCTCAGGATAAATGACAGTATGCGTCTCGTTTACAAGCTCGTCTGCATATCCTTGATATGCAAGACTTTCACGAGCAAAATCAAGGACTTCAACCGAAAGATTCCGACATCTAAACTCACCGTTGAGAAGGTTCTTCACCACCTCAAGCGAGAGCTTTTCCACAAATACCTCCGGAGTGCTCTCAAATGGCCCCACCTCCGCCAGAATCTCCTCTGCCGTAAAACACTGTCCAAATATAAACAAGCATTACTGATAGAATAATACAAACAAAAATACAAGTAAGTATGAATAATGCAAAAAATATATCTTGGTGAAAACAAAAACAATAAAATGTGGATTAATTTATATGTTCTTCTCGAATGCATTTTTTCTTACAAAAAGGTGTTACGTAGCACAAATATTCCGTCGTTATCTATTTTTGCATGAGTAATCGAAGAACAAACGAAACTATAACACTAGGGGTGTTTTAATCTAAAGTTATATTTGGCGGATTTACATGCCAAACCAAAAGACATCTGGCACGCCCGAGCCGAGGAGTAAGGATTAGTTTCGACCACCTGGTGATCTTTGACGGTTACACGGCGCCTTCCCTGCAAGAAACCTTTGTCAGACTATGGGTACCTCAGCCGGGATTCAAACCCGCCAGATGAGGAATCGGCCTACCTCGGAACCACCGAGGTGGCTTGTTTTAACTACAGTAAAAATAGCGATAAATAAACGGTATACAAACCTTTATTGGAGAGTCCGCCATGTAGATGCCCTTAATGTGTCGTAGCATGTCCTCAAACCTGAGTAGAAGCTGAGGCGGCTTGCTCCGGGGCGTGACACGCTTCAGCAGAGACGACAGGCATTGCTGGTAGCTGCTGCAATCGGATTCCGTCGTGCAGGCCTTCATCATGTTGGACAAGCGGTGAAGGACCACCACGCTCAGCTGCTCGAGCTCCCGAACGGATGGATGCCGAGAGGTGTTCTTGTTTTCCCACGGCACGTTGCGAAGCACGTTTTGGGCGGAGAGACACTGTAAGGAGGCCATGCAAATCAACGGACGTGAAAGAAAATTGATTTTTTTCCCCCGCAGACTGTGACTATTATTAACCTGGCACGGCGCCTGGAACGACGCGTTTCACATCGGTATGCTTAGCGTCCTAATCGGGACACCAACGGTGTAGTGTCACGAATGACAAATGATGAGGCGGCGAATAACTAAAGGAACTGAACCTTTAATGGGACGAACTTTTTCCCAAAACAAAAGAGGAAAAAGGTTAGTGTCGGACGCATCGATGTCGGCAAAACAGCAAGTTCGAGCGCTGGGGCGCATTTTAAGAAACAAAGGGTATATTTTTACACCCCTTGTCACATATGCGACACCCCAAAACTTCAGCTCGACGTACAGCAGGCACGCTGACGTCGAACTGACGGCCCCTATTTTTGCGAGAGGTTTGATGAAGGTGCGATTTAACATAATAAACAGCTACAGTACGTATCAAAGTCTACAGAAAAAAACAACACAGGTTTTGCAGTTGAGCCAGGAAAACCCTATAACTTTTTTGCAGTCAGTCATACTTACATTAGCTACTTTAATAAGTTGTACAACTCGGCTATCAAGCCGCTGGTAAAACGGCAGTGGGCTGAACATCCACTAAAGTTTTGGGGTGTCGTATATGTGGCAAGGGGTGTTTTTTTGTTGTTTTTTTTAGAGTGCGAAACTGACCCCGGCTCTCCACGCGGAGCCCCTTATGTAGACGCGTGGGTTTCTGTAACAATCGGCGTAGAAGGTTCGGCCCGTAAAACATTGTAAACCTCGAATAAGCAATAGGGTTCTCGAATTTACCTGACACTGACCTTACAGAAGCACCAAATATGACCGCATCTACACGTGGTGAATGATGTTGATTGGGGCGAAGCTCTGATGATACTAATTTTATTGTTCATAGGGAGTGCTGATGGTGCACTTTTTTTTTTATTGCTCATAGGTAATGCTGAGTTTCGGGTTACGTTTCGACTTCATTATTACTGCTTCATGGTCGGTGAAATGCAGAGCCAGTGGTTCTTCTAACGGATCAGCTTGGATCCGCTAGAAGCCGTGGGAACGCATCTCCACCGCTTAAGTCAACGGTCGATGTCAGAAAGAATGTGTGGTATGGAACGAGGCTATATACGCATTTGAGCGTTTGACCGCAGCGCCCTCTCGTCTACAAACGTTGAGCCATTGCATGCAAAGTTTAATGCGATTATATACGCATTTGACCGCAGCGCCCTCTCCTGTATAGATGTTGAGCGGCTACATGCAACGTTTCATCCATGACATCCCCAGCTCCTGAGTTACAACCACATCTCAGAGCGCCCTATACTCGTCCCGCAGTCGTGGCCGAGTGGTTAAGGCGATGGACTAGAAATCTATTGGGGTCTCCCCGCACAGGTTCGAATCCTGTTGACTGCGCAAACATTTTTTTTTTTTTAAGAAGACAGATGAGATGGCAATCGATGTGAGCACGGACGCCGGGCAAGGCTAGACCTTAAGGAGCGTCGCCCCTAAAAGGTGTATCCGCGGCCAGGCATCGAGCCCCGGCTTTCCGCGTGGGAGGCAAGCACGATAGCGGTTAGGCCACGGGTGCGTTGCCTACTTGGCCAGCTGCGCGCGTGGCAGTATATTTATTCCGCGCCCCCTTCTTTGTTCCACATTTTCGCCGCCCGGCTGCACAGTGTCTGTTGCACACTGGGATGGGCGATAGCTCCCTGCTTCTCTGCTTCGCGTACTTTTTGCCGAGTGGCGTTGCCTTCTTTGAAGTTGCGAATACCTCCCATACTTTCCAGTCTACATAGAATAACAACAAAAGTACGTCACAACAGTCGCTGGGTAATAGTGCGAGTTTTCGTAACCGTGGTGGCTGGATGGAGAAGCCGAACATTTTTTACTTGCCAAACCAACAAAGGCAATCTGGCACGCCCCGGCGGAGGACCAAGGATTAATTTCAACCGCCTGAATATATCTTCACACGAACCGGAACGTCGGTCACAAGGAGTCTTCTCCACACTTAACATCTGTCAGATTACGGGCAACTTGGCCGGGATTCGAACCCTCCACTTCTAGTTTCAATTGCCGGCGCCTTGCCCCGGAGCCACCTATTCGGCTTGAATGAAAGCGCGCCGGCGAGGAAAAGCGAATATATGCAAAAGTTTCGCCTAGCCCCCGCACCAAAGCGCTGTTAATCTCCGCGGCATTTCCATTCACGGAATGAAAGTGATTCGCATATTACAAATCTGGAACGTCAACAACATAATAGAAAAAGAAATATAAATATATAGTAAACATACCAGTCGGAGACACGTCTCGGGGACTCTCCAGACCGGGTTGGGACATACAAAAGTCGCACCGTAGAACAAGCAGTATCGTGAAACGTTGTAGTATTCACTAAAATTTATGTTTACAAATTATTATATGGGATTGTTTACTTTCCAAAATGTGCCATACAAAAAGCAACACACATGAATACAAACTCAGCATCTGCGCTATGTATACTTGCGGACAAAGTAAGCTGTAACGATGGTGCAACGACCGAAATAATATATCACTAAGACAAATTTATGAGACAGTTGCGAAGCTCGGGAACTAAGGGTGAAGCAGAAAAATGTCTGGGGAGTATTTCGACGCCAGCGTCTGCGTGGCTGGCGATGCATTGAGATGGACGCTCGGTCCGCCTAGTTCCAGCACCTCCGCGATTAATCCTGATTATGTTAAAGCACTGTACTGCGCGCTCTTCCGGCTCTGCGGACTTCTCAATAAATGTCAAAGCGCACTCCAAGGACAGGAGTCATACAAACGCGAACAGTTAAAAATAGTGAGGTCACTGCGCCCGATTGGCTGAGGTGCTGGCAGCACAAGAACAAAGATAGAACGAAGTTCATGACGTTGCGTCTTATAGGCTGCTTAATTCGTCATATTGGCTTATGGGTACCCAGCAAATCTAACTCAATGCCAATCCGCGCGCCTCTCGCGGCGGCGTCGCGCGTACTCATCGGGAAGCGACCTCGGCTGTAGCAGCTCAACTGCAGTGTTAAATCGGTGGGTGTTGTAAGGTCGGTATGCCTGCTTGGACTACCAAGTTGGGGCAAGCGCGGGAGCGGCGGCAGAGCTCCAACGCTCTTCCTACGCCGACTCAAAAGTGTCCGCGGGCGACTGGTAAAGACCTCGAAAATAACTCAGAATGGGAAGTGAAACTGGGAGAGATACCGGCACTCGAAATGCCATTTCAGCAGCAAGAGGCGCCCTCATCAAGATGAGAGTGCACAACCCAGTGAGTACGCTTTCTGGACCATTTCAGTGCATTTGCGAGATAAAATCCTTAGTAACGGAACCATCACTGACGTTGGACCGAAAGATATAGGACGCGCTTCCCCCAAAAGAGAAGTCGAACCAAGAACGAGGGGTCGCACTTTTTGGAGGCGCAATGGGGGACAGTGGGTGTATCACAGGGTCGCGTGTTAACCGCCCCCCCCCCCCTCCCCCATCCACCTTTTTCAGTTTTCTCGCGGTGAGTGTGCGGATGGCTCATTAAAAATATATTAACCTACCCGGCCCACCCGTACACGCCGCTTCGCGGCGCCCCGCTGGCGGTCCAAATAAAGTCCCTCGATACTTCATATTACAAGTAACGACAACCACTACAAATGACAGAGCACATTCTGCTGGAACAAAATGGCGGCATTCAGCTCAAACTACCACTGTGTGCCGCTATTCGCTTCCTAAAACCTGTACCCTCACGCGGTTGTCGTTTAAAAGAATGTCGCTACTTGTAGGAAGCTCTTATCTGGGGACTTTAGGCCCAAACCCCGCTGTCCCCTATTGCACCTCCGACCCAAAGCGAGAGATAGAATACGGACAAGATTGCGGTCGACCATGCTATCGAACTCAGTCTGAGCATGCTTAGTAAATGTGCGTTGTTTCTGCGCACGAGCTGCTACTGGGTACGTTTCTATAGGGTCTATTCACGTGCTGAGTCATCGCCCACAAACATGGCCACCAAACGATAAAGCTAGCAGTGAGCTTTGAGAAAAATAAAAACGGCAAAGCAAACCCGCCAATCGGGTAACCGCTTTTGCCTTCGGCGGCCATGCTTGTGTGTAGTGACTGGACATTAAAAGACAGTCTGACGTCATATGAATACACTCTATACTTTGTTTCAGCATAAGTCCAGACGCATCCGCGAGCTAATGAAGCCAAGCAAACAGCGTGAAAAGCTCCAGTCACTGTTCCTTTTCTGTTTATGATCGCTTCAGCGATGATGGAACACGTGTAGAAACATGATGAACACCATGACGGTGCACTTTTGACGCTGTCTGATTGGTTTCATGGGCTGCGCCCGGACCTCGAATGAAGCGAAGAATAGTTATTATCCTTCTTGTCTATACAGTCATTGAAACAATTATTTCAATGGCACGGCGACCACGCGCACAGATAATGAAGGCGACAAGCATGGGTACGTGGTAGTAAAGAGTGAACTCGAGTTACTTTACCGGCCCTAAACGCGGGGAAGTAGCAGGATGAGTCAGATAGCAGTGGCCACGGCACTCTCGTCCAGATGCAATATCGCATTTCTAGATCGATGTTTTACGTCGAGGCTACGCCACTGGTCTGTTTCGGTCGTCTCTTGTTGCAACTTACGTTGTCCACGAATGTACACCACACAGGTGGCGGAACTATATATTAATTCTAACCGATCTACATGCTAGACTAAAACTAATGGAGCATAAGGATTTTTTTTCACCTACTACTGAGTTTTACTACCTTTTCCAGCTTTATTCTCGTTTGTGGCCGACATTTCGTTACCGTTTGATGCAAACCGTCCTGCAAGTGAAGCCTGGCTATAATTGACATCGCAAGCTTCAGTTGCAGGAAAACGTCAGGGAACAAGGAGGCCAGAAGAAGCGAGGGATGTGCGGTTGTCGGTTAATCATTCTTAACGCGTTTCTCGGTAGTTTGGCGTTCATTAGCTCGACTTTGAGGGGAGCGAACCGATGGCTTACCTCGATACAATCGTACGCGCTGAGTCCCGTTGGCGTGCAGTGGATCTTGTTCTGTATGCTCTTCGCGAACGCATCAATGTTTTCTTGGGTTCTGTCAGCCGTGCATTGCTGGAGCAGCCCAGACGCCGCAGCCACCGCCAGCAGCAGGGGCGCGAGCCTCGTTCTTTTGGCCATTGTGACTGCTTTCTCAAAACTCCTGTTGAAACGGACATTGAAAAAACATATATGTCAGTCTGAGAGGGTAGATCGTTTAAAATAGCTCATCTAAAAACATTAATTATTACAGCGAATTTGGCAAGAAAATTGTGTAGTTGAATAAAAAGAACAAACTTGCTAGAATTTACTACAGCAAAAGTGCTCCTAGAGTAAACTGTAATGATATGAAATATGTTTCTGGCATAAAGAGAATAAAGTAGGGCTGGAAGTCAATCAAGAGTTTCAACCCGATTAATCGCCACCCTTTAATCGAATAATTAATCGATTAAAAGGTCTCGTTTTTTTAAGGATAACAATACGAAACTCGGAATTCATATATTTTGATTGCATTTCCTGAATATGTGGTAGAAGACGAAATATACATCTTAGATTACGAATTAGTCTCGGGGCGTAGTAAAGAACAATTCAGACACTCAGAATCACAGGCTGTTACCTCAGCTAGACGCGGCAAAGAAATTATTTTATATTCTCCAGCAAGAGTAGCCTTCTTTGATCGTTTCGCAAGAGTCTCTGCTGCGATAAACAGAAACTCGAACGGCGATGAACTGGCCGGGACACGGGTAACCTTCTGCACTCGTCTGGAGTTACAAATCTTGCCAATAGTTTACTTTATTACAACATTTGACCTGAGGTTTGCCCTCATACAGGTGTATACATGCTTGCCCACGTATGTGAGCCGGAAGAGCTCAATTTTTACTTTTTTTTTGGTCCGTCAAAATTTTACCTATTAACGGGTTAAAACATTTAATCGCGATTAAAGCATTAACCGACTAATCGGTAGGTTAATCGATCAATTTTCCAGCCCTAGTAAAAAGTAACCTGAACCAGGATTCGATAATATTCATAACGTTCACACTAATACATAGCAAGATAGAGCATACAAGCCTGAAGTGTAAATCTTAGAGGTTCTGTTTTTTTAGATCATCACCATCACTCCTCATCATCATAATTTATTATTCTTGAAAGCCCTACATTCATTGCACACCGCAAGACGCCAATTCGTGCCGTGTGGAATCGTCGATTCTTAACAAGACGTCAAAATTCAATAAATAGTTTTTCTTCATTACTACTTTACACAATGGGTATCGCATCTGGGAGATTATACCCTTCTCAACTTTTCAATTGCGTACGTTTTCACGGAAGGTAGCATATACAGACAAGATACCAAGAAAACAAAAAAAAAAAGGAGTGATGTTCTCAGTTACAATAGGTTTTCTAAAACACAATAAATATCCCATAAACGTTACCGCAACGCAAAGAAACCTGATAACACGTAGGAGAGTTTTAATGATGCGTATGGGACGAAACGCAAGCGCAGTCCGTTAGTGTATCGCACACCCCACTGCGCATGCGCGATGTCACCATGTGCATATCAGAGACGCAGTTCAGTCTCCGCAGTTTAGAACACGTAACCGCAACGGAAACGCACTGTGCCTGCGCTTGGTCGTATACGCAATACTAAAACTCGCTATAATCTTTCATGTCTAGTGCATATTTTTTACGGTAATAATGGGCTTCTGATTGACACGACGTATGTCTTATGACAATTTCTAAGCTTATGACCGCTACGTTTAAGGCTGGTCGGGCATAAAATACTATATATATTAAGATTATTTTATCGGTGATTACACGATACTCTGTGCGATAAGGGTTATCAATTTTTAGCTGTACAGAGATCTTACGTCTTTAAGCATTTTCAAGTTATTTCGCGGCTTACGGCCGCGAACTGCACTAGCGGTTTTCGTTGAAAGTTTTCAAGTTATGAATACGTTTTTCTGAATTAACCGATTCCTGACTCACTAAAGCAGGCATTAATAAATTCTGGTGAATCTTGACGAGTACAGTGGTCAGCGAAACGGAATGGACCACCGGAGTGCATGGCCTCGCGTACCTCCTGCGACATCTGCCGGGTGAAGCCGTGTAATCTGGTGCGGCCCGTCGCACATGCTGATAGCCGAGCCAAGCAGTCATCAGCTGTTCGTGCTCGGGGTGCATCCGCCGATAAATGATTAAAGCCAACCATAAGCTTGAAACATGACCGCGTTGTTTTCTTTGCGGTAGCGTTCACAGTTTTTTTTTCTTTTTCTAAAGGTTAAGGTTGTGAAATTAGTCACCACCTCGCGCAGTGAGCTCACACTTTATACTAAATAAGTATTTTGTTTCGTGGCACTTATGTGTTATTTTTTTAATGAGATTGACTCTACCTTGTCTCATTCTACGATGGGCTAAAGGGCAAAGCGTCGGCCGCCAGGTACAGTCAAGTTCCACGCAAAACTCTGACATGCTTAGCATTGTGAAGGTATGGACTTATAATGCTCCGAATCAAAGAGCGCTGCATCATTTCTATAGCTTCGACACTGCAAAAAGACTGCATGTCTCAGCTTTCTTTCCAATGCAAAATTGATGAGCCAGTCCAAAGGCGGATTTAGAGGGGGAGGTCCGGATGTCCTGACCCCCCTCTTGATTTCTGCATGTGTAAAATTTAGGGCGTAAAACGAAGGAGAGGGGGTTCCTAAACACATGGTACGCTGACCAACACCTGACCCCCCCCCCCCCCCCCCCCTCACAAAATTCCTGCATCCGCCCCTGAGCCACTCAGTGCCATTCGATTCGGACCACTGTCCGCTCATCCCCATCAGTGATCCGAGGCGCGGGCAGCGATACGTGCGTCGAAGCGAAATACCAGGCAATTTTTAAGTGGCTCGTGACTGTATCTGGCGGTACGCAGCTTTTGCCTTTAGTCCATTGTAGGATGAGACAAAGTATAACATAATATGTTTTCCTTTTCTTTTGCTGTTTTCCAACTTGGGACAACATAACTTCACATCTTAAAGGACAACTTAAAATTGCGAGTGTCACTCGATGATTAGACACAACTTGGGACAACATAAATGTAACTAAGATTGAAATGCATGTTCCGTAGTAATCACCTATCGGATGGATGCGCCCCGAGTGCGAACAGCCGCTGGCTGCTTGGCTCCGCAACGTGCATGTGCGACTCGCGACATAAAAATCCCACGGTTTCATCCGGCATATGTCGCAGCTGGTACACGAGTTCACGCACTCCGCTGGCCCATTTCGTTTTGTTTATCACTGTATACAGTGGCCAGCGATATGAGCTAGAATGCGCAGACGGCGACCAGGCAGTACAGACCTCGCAGTCTAGCAGGCAGTGAGTGGAGGGTCAGCACGTAGGTAGGGGAGGTGCTTAAATGCGTCCACTCACCCGCCGCGCGCAATACCTCTCCCCCACCGACGCGCTCATGGTGGTAGCCTTGCGACAGCGTGGTCTGTGCTGCCTGGTCGCCGTTTGCGCATTCTAGCTCATGTCCCTAGGCAAAGTACATCCGCAGCTGCAGTGGTTCTCGCAAGCGGTGAATTTGTTCATGAACCAAAATGGAAACGAGGCCCAATGCTCTCAAACTAGGTAAGGCGAAACTTCAAAAGATGAACGTTTGGGGAATCTAAATCCAGAGGAACTTGGTTGTTTGAGTTCGCGAACCGATAACGTTTAAACATTTTAAGTAAAGGCAGAGATACACAACCTTGACAACATTATTAAATCGTGATAAACCAGGAAGATGCACCCAAAACATGGAAAAGGGTATCGTAACGTTTAGGAGTACATAAATAAGCAAATACGTTTTCAAGAATATAAAGCACGAGTACTCTCGGAATACATATGTATAAAGGGATCAAGAGAGTGACTACACAACATCTTTCATGACAGTCACAAAAGTGCGCTGAAACTTACCACTCCTGACTAGGGAACGGTTGCTTTGAAGATCTGCCAGAAACTCGGTCGAATACCTGAGTCGACACTGAGAAAGCACTCGAAAGACAACCGTTTTATTCCGACTACGACGTCATTGCGTTTATCAATCGCTTTGTGAGTAAGGGTACAACGGCCACTAAAGACCGATTCAAAGAGAAGCCAGAATCGCGGAAGAGTCACTGTATGCTCCCTATCTGGTAAATGCGATAGTGCTAAGAGCTGTCTAAGAGCCCAGATAGAGGCTCCCACTGCATGGCTAGGTGTGAAAACCCTCCATGGCATAGTTTGCACCCCCCCCCCCCCCCCATCCCCGCGTGCTCTACAACTTCTAACCGTGCTAAAGCAAAAACAAAACAATACGTAACATTCTTCACTAAAGTAAGTGAGCACTACGAAATTTACTAAAACAAAACCAAATCCACGTTCAGGGTTCGTGAAATACGTTTGTTAAAGAGTTGTCTTATCTGATTCCCGTGCGTATTATCGGGAACAAACGAAATCCGAAAGACGGAAGGCGTGGCCTTCTGTACATGCTGCTCTATCTAGGTAAGAGCTCCCTACAAGTAGCGAAATCCTTTTGAAGCGTCTACTGCGTGACGATGCAGGTTTTTAGGAAGCGAACGGCGGCGCACAGCAGAAGACTGAACTGGATGACGTCGTTTTGTTCCAGCGAAATGTGCTTTTTCCTTTGTATACAGGTTGTTGTTACTCGTAAAAAGAAGTACACAGGGAGTTTAGCGCTATGCCTGGAGGCTCCTGGAAATTGATAAAACCGCGGTGTGGAGAGCGAAACTATATGGGGAATAGAACGCGTCTCCAACCGGTGTGTTTACCTCGAGCGTAACAAAAGTGGTCCTCGATTTCCGCCTGATGACGTCATACAAGTGTCATGCTGTCGCCGCCGCGATCCTGGTGGTGTCCCAGCAGCGGTGGTGGATGCGGCAGGCGCCTGTTCTGCTGCAAGTGTCTCTCCAGCATGACAGACAACGGACGCTTCCGCAGCCAGGAGCTGGGACGCAGCGACGACAGCGACACTCACGTTCAATCATGTTTTTTTGCAGGTATTTCTAGCACCAACCGCCAGGGTCGCAATATCTGAGAGAATGACCCTCCGGCTTTTGTGACGTCATTTGTTGCCATTTCGGGACCATTTTTTTCGTGGACGCTTAACGCACCAGTCGAAGACGCATTGCAGGCACCATAACGGGAGTGCGAGGGTGTGCTCGCCTACTCCGACGTGCACTAACACCTCGTAGACAAGAATGCAGTGTGCTGAATTTTCAACGTCTCACAAAGGAGGATGGCGCGTTTCATTTGTGCGCGATAAGAAAGCGGCCAGAGACATGAGCTAAAACGCACAAACGGCGACCAGACAGCATAAACCACGCTGTCGCGCGGCTGCCGTGCGTACGTTGGGGGATGGGGGAGGTATCGCCCGCGACGGGTGAGCACAAACATTTAGAAACCTCCCCTCCAGTTGTGGCCCGCCACACGCCGCCTGCTAGACCGCGTGGTCTGTACTGCATGGTCGTCGTTCATGCATTTTAGCTCATATCGCTAGCCACTGTAAATTCTATCTGCATATTTCTTTATTTCACTAGACAGTGATTCTCCGGAATAATAACTGGAGCAAATTGTGTGCACTGGTGTAAACAACTCGTTAAAGACTTTGAAAGAGCCCGGGCTTTCCGAAAGGATATGGGTCACTGATATTAAAAAGAAATTCAAGGTATTCATCAAATAAGCAATTGTAGTAGATCTCCATACCAGAATACCACAGGGCAAAACACTAGGGCTGGCCACTAAATCAATTAACATAACGATTATCCTCATAATGCTTTAATCGTGATTAATTTTGTTACCAAGTTAATCGGTTTAAATTTGACCAACAAAAAAAAAACATTAAGTTAGACGCTTTCATCACGCAGACGTCGACGAGTACACCTATATTAAGGTAAACTTTAGCTGAAATTTTGTCCTAAAGTTAACTGTAGGGCGAGAACACCAAAGAAGTGGAGAAGGTTCCACGTGTTCCAGCTAGTTCATCGCCGTTCAAGTGGCTGTCTAACGCAGCAGAGACTACCGTGAACAATCAACGAGTTCGCTATTTCCGGAGAATATCGACGAACCGCTTTGTTTCTACGGCTGATGTAGGTTTTAATTTGTGAGTGTGGCTGTCTTTTGACCGTTCTCAACTACACTTCAAGGTTCATTCAAAATCCGGAATTTTACATTGCGCCGAGCAAAGGCAAAATGAGTAACTTTGACCTTTCAAAACTATTATACGTGGGAATGAACGATACCGATTAATTGAGTAAAGGGTAGCGATTAATTCGTTACAAATTTGAAGCGACGCCCAGCCCTAGAAAACATACAAGCAGTGCAAATCATTCATAATGGTATGAGCACGACAAGGCACGCATATTAAAGTTGGGTCATCTTAAAGTCTTGCTTACTGAGCATTATTTGAGGCCATCCCTATATTGGCTTAGAAATAAAGTACACACTCACTTTTCTGTACTTTTATTGTCAGTGAATGTCGACAGGAAGCGCATTTTAGCGCACGCAAGTCGTGTACTTTTTAAATATCTATAGTCCGTTGCAACTCGAGAACGAAGCTAAGGCAGACATCTGGAGAGGAAGCAGACGGAACGCTAAGAAGAGAGGAGGAAACCTCCTTCTCTCTTTAGCGTTCTGTCTGCTTCCTCCTCCCCGGCCCGTCTTATCCTCGGCCTTCGTTCTTGAGCTGCAACGGACTATAGAGTCCGTTAAGTTAGAGAACTCAAGTTTAACATCACAAGACAAAATATATATTTGTTTTTTGCGAACGGTGTCTAGCATTTTGTCGTTCAGAAAATGACTACTGCACGAAGTTCCCAAGTTTACTTTGAAATATGCCTTATTCATTATGACAGTTCACATGTATTCGACTGTTTCGCTTCTTCAATGGCTGTATACATCAATAGAATCATAGTATCGCTAAGATTCGACCATATCTCGTTTAGAAATAACTCAAACTCTGCCAGCATACGTACATCTAATTAAAATAAATATTTTATGTGAGTTAGCCACAAATACCAATTGGCCCTGAATTATAGGGCACAAGAACAGAAGCTGCTTTAGGGCTGAAAACATTGGTAGAGCCTAACTTTTAAATTTGGTAGCTCGCATCATTATCTTACCTCGGTGTCGTGTACTCGGGTTGCATGACTTCAGCCTCGATTGTATGGCCGCGAACGTTTCCGATCTTCAACTAACAGTTCAGTCGCGTACCATTCCAATATGCTTAGGGCAGAATCGCGTTGGAAAGTAACCGGCTTTAAATACGCTCGTGACCATGAACTTTGCGAAAGACCGGAAACCTAGTATGCAAAGTAGAAAGCGAAAAGTTGCAAAACCCCGACAGGCCACGAACGTATTACATCCTCTGGAATTTCCTCGACTTTCGCTGCCAAAATAGCTTGGTACTCCATCGGCGGCTTTCCCTTCCATTGCCTACACTCCCAGAGTGTCCATCATGTATACTTTTGCGCATTTCACTCGCTAAAGCAAGGATTGGTCTTTCAGTAAACAGTTAATTCAGTTGGAGGTACTCTTGGTACGATGGTGTTTCTGTGGTAAAAAAAAAAAGATAGATGCTTTTTTTGTCTCTGCGCCTGCATAGACATGTCAGCATAATACCAATCACCGTTCACATTAACCTAATTGATCCAAGGCAACACAATAATTGGTGGTCTGACTGCATCACGGAGCAGCATACACTCGGGGTCATCCCAGAGTGTAGATAAGATCAGAGATCAATATCTCAAAGAAAGAAACTGTGCCCAGTATTTGGGATAAAGCACTCAGCTATGTCAATATTTAGCGAGTCCTTCACAAAATAGACCACATATTTTTTTATTCTAGGTGCTTAGTTGATAAAGTTTCGTTCGTCTTTGTGGCAAATGTCCTATCGTGCCACGTACCCTCAAGGGGTGCTTGATACAGATCGCTAAAAAGCGTGAAAATTCAACGAGGCTTTGTAAACAAACTGGTATTTTAAATTAAAAAAGTTTTTACATTGGTTCTTGATTCCCTCTTTAAAACTGTGAGAATCAAAGGAAGACATTTACATATACTGCACATATTAAAGAAATATTATAATGCATGGTCTATTTAAAATTATTAGGTGAGTTTAATATTTTAACTAAAGATAATATCTATGTACATATTTCTACGAGCGTAGGCATCGACTGGTTCATGGTTGTGCGCAACACAAGAAGTGATAAAGAAATATTAGTTAAAAATACATGGGCATACACGGACAGCACATATTTCGACTTTTAACACGTATTTATACGAGTTGAAAAACGAAAGATGTGCTGTCCGCGTTTCGTTGTTTTATGCTTAATTTTTTCTTAACATCTTATATTCTATCAACCTCCTCACCTAAAAAAACAGATGTATTAGCCAGTGATAGATTACCTTCTCCAACGTCCGGTCAGGAAGGCCGATGTTCATTTCTTGGAAGTGCGTATCTGTACGATAAGTTCACGCCAGGGCCAAGTCACGAAAACCCACGACACGCCAGGTCTCCAAAGAAATCCACCATGCTTGTCTCGACTGTCGTTGCCTTATCGAGCTGCAAAAAAAGAAAAAAAGGAGCTATTCTGTTAAGGGATATGCCGCAGTTTTGGAAGAAGAAATAAGTAGCACGTTTATTTAACATTCAAACGACCAAACATGAAATATTTCTTTGAACGCTCAGCGTTGCGTTCAAAAACAGCATCAGTACAATAATCATTGAGAGCGGAACAGGTAGCTATATTTTATAAGTAAAGAGGAATGTTCCGCACATGGCTCTTCATAGCCCTAAAGACGGGCAAAATAAAAATAAAATGCAAAGGTCGTTTACTTGTGCAGGTAAACCCGGAAAGGAGACCATGGGAACGACCCAAAAGGATATCTCATAGTTCACACAGACACACACACGCACACAAACAACTTTTTAATTTAAAAAGAACTTTTAATCTGCCTAAAGAAGCGTGCTGAGTCCTAGCAAAACATTAGCTGACTAACTGGATAAGGATGGCTAGTTGGGCTAGTTGGTTTTGCATCCTAGTGTGATACGTCAAAACAACACGGACGAAAACGAGGGGAGAACAGGACATGACAGGACAGGACAGAGGAACGAGTCCTCATTAACTGAACTTTCCAGCAGCTGTACTTCCAAAAGATAAGAGACACCCTTTTCATCGTTGAACCCCGTGTAAATCTTGTGATATATATATTTCTTTTTCCATAAGTTTATTAGAATTCGCGTATATGATCATAGAGCCTTTGACTCCCACACTCGAGTACATTGGGACGCGTTCCTCTTTGGTTTCTGTTTTGATTTTCTTCTCGCCGCCTTCCAACTTGGCTCACGATCTTTTTAATGTACATTGCCAGTGATGAAAACAATATTTTAATGAGTAGCGCCACCTTTTGTTTAAAAGTAACAATTCTTGCTTTAGCGATTTCTATTTTAGTGTGCTCCTTCGCTGCTAGAGAATGGTAAATTTGAGTTATTCAACCTTGTACTTTCTGGTCAAACACTGAGATCTAAAAATAACTAATGAACACGGTATTCAACGACATTGACAACAACATATATAGTTCTGAATACACAAAAAGGCCGACTAACACCGATTAAAAAGTGGCTTCAGGATGCAGGGAAGAAGTGCCATTATATAGCACCGCGTATCATAGTACAATGCGACAAAAATGTCCTCGTTTGGAGGCATGCCAACAACAATTATACAGGGTGTTTTGGAAAGAAATAACCGCACAAACACTTGAACATGGGCAAAAAGAAACACAAAAGACAGGACGGCGATGTCCTGTCGTGTGTTATTCTTTAGCCTTGTCCAAGTTTTTTGCCGCTGTTTCTTCGCAAGATGCTCACTTGAAACCAACTAGCCCAATAGGTCAAATTAATACAGTTTGTTTTAATGTAAGTTTAGAAAGACTTATATACGTAAAGACAGGGGACGGGACAACACATCTTGTCTTTACGTATATAACCCTTTCTAAACATACATCATTACCAACGGGCTCACTAACAAGTATAGTTTTTTTTTTAAGTTTAACAGATTTGCTTATAAGTAGTCGTGAAAGCTACACGTAAGTGATTTGCGAGGTGAGCTTTACGGCCAGGTAGACATAGTATAGGCGGGATAATCGTAACGATCAGCTGGCTAATTAAGTAAAATTTGTTAATTCGTGCAAATAGACATACGGTTTCAATTAGAAACGTTTTGAGCGTCTTCCAAAACCACTAAATCAATTATGTCATTTAATGACTGTGATACAGAAAATAAAAAAAAAAACTTTTAGTCGAAAAAACCGACACAGGAGCGAACGTCTCAAGTTGAGACGTTTCCCTATGTCTGTTCCTCCGACTGAAATATTTTCCTTCTTTTTGCGCCGTAGTCTGAGGTGTTGAACAACATGATTGGCTACCACAAACTCGCATGCGCAGTCACAGTCTTCACACTAAATCAATACATCTTAGAAATACTTTGAGAGTGCAGTGTGCGCTACAGGTACTACTCGTGTAACAAGTGCTAGGCTGGAGTTACCATAAAAAACAGAAAAACCGCGCCGGCGCGTTATAGCACCGGTAGCCTTGCTTCTGCTGCACGGGTGGTAACTTTAGCACACCAGTGCGCTTCTCACGCGCTGAAGTATTTCTAAAGATTACTGATCCAGTGGTTTTTTTTTTAAGGCTCAGCAAGTTTTTAACTGGAACAACATGTCTACTTTAACTAAACAAAAGTGAATTACCAACTTTCTCGCAATTAGTTTACTGGTTATTAGGACTGACCTGCACAAACCGCATAAGTATGTTCTGAAAAAAACACCCTGTATTTTTGCCCATAAGAAAACGTGTCTCTTAGCAATAAATATGCTTTGCAAAGCATGCTACAGTGTTACTAAGAACAAGATTGTTATTCAACTTGCGGCCAGAAAAAACCTAAAAAAAGAACCCGTCAATAAAAGGGTTAAAGCCCCTCTCAAACCAAAAGGGTTAATACCCCCTCTCAAGCCATCACGAGGGCAACAAAGGCGCAATCTTAAAGAGGTAAATTGCACTGATTGGGGCAAAGCGAGGTCTATAGAGGACTCCAAAGGTTATAAAAACGTACCTCGGTAAAGAAGTAAAATACGCGTATCTCTGTTCAGCGTACTTCAGATTATCTCAGTTTAAATTTTTTCATCAAGTGCATAGTGGAGATATTCTATCTCAACTTCGCTCAACCCATGTCAATGTCCAGGTTGGCCTTCTCACTGAGATTTGATCAGCCGAACGAGACAAGAATTACTCGTCCTCCTCTGTAAAAAAAAAAAAAAAAATATAAACCACTAAACTCGCTAAAAAATTTGACCGATTGTAAGACATTAAAAACATAGACTGTCGGTTTGTGTATTTTTGTATCTATTTGTTTGCCTTTTCATAACACTTGGATAATTTTCAACCAACCAGACAACTGAGTTTTATTTGTATTTTATAAAATTACGCAAAATTAAAAAAAAAAAGTCGGTTTACTTTTAGAAGGAGAAAAACATTAATTTGTGTTCATACCGGAAGATAATTCAGTTGATTCACATATCTGCGCAACTCTGTGGTTTCAATCTCCAAATGTTACTCAAAGTATCACCGAAAACGAATATCGTTTGTTTGTTACTGTTGCTTTTGTGGATGTGGTCGGTGTTGCAACTAGGAGCCCGGGGGGGGGGGGGGGGGGGGGGGAAGGGCTACAAAACATTTTATCCGAGATATTGCTTTCCTTCACTTCTCAACAAAATAGCAGTATGTTTATCAAAGGCGACGGAATCTCGCCTTTATAGCATGGACAGCAACGCTACTCACTACCTCAATTTGGACAGCAACACGTAAATGCTACCCGTTGATACGCTATAGTTTGACTGTGACCTGCATTTCTGTGTTTGCATGCAGAAAACTAGTTTAAAGAGACCCGATACCTGCGTAACTCTAAAGGCCCGTTAACTATTTTCCTCTGACTACCACCCACTGAGATAAGACCGGTATTTAAGCCTTTTCTGAGGGCTTACAATCGGCTCAGCTGAAGCAAATCCGGTCGTAAGGCATCGCAAGAGGCTTAAATACCGATCGTGTCTCACTCAGTCATAGTCGGTCGCCAGTGTGCGAACGGGCCTTAAGGTAGCTTACATTACAAAAGATTAAAAATATACTTCATATATTCTGACAGATGGGAATTATGCAACAACTAAAATTTAAATAGAAACTGAGTCACATTACTTATTTACTCATACCAAACTTGAAACAGTAAGAGCAAAAAGGGGCACTTTTGTAATAGCCTCTTTCTAAGCGTCACAATATATTATATAGTTTCTTTACCTTAAAGTGATCGTCATTCCTCTTCTTTATAAAAACACGTCTGGTTTACTGCATTGTTTAAGTACTGCTTGCATCAAAGAAATTGCGACATCAAAGTTCAACACTAGAGAAATAAAAAATCGTCTGCATCGAAACCTATAGGCGTAGATTACTGTAATTTCGCATATCAATTACTTTTTCTCGGAGGTGCCTCCTTTTGAGACACTAAGCAAACGATAACTGTAAACGTTATTCTTGAAAAATAGTTCCAGGTTATAGTTACCTCAACACAAAATGTAATTAAGGTAACAAAATACAAAACAATATCACGTATCTCTCTACATTTAAGCAGCGCAAATTACTGCTATATTTACCCAGCACAAATTACAATTTCATTAGTTTTCGACGCGGGACAAATACTGGCACAGTGACACTTTCATTGAGTACCATAAACTCGTGCAAGAAGTCGAATCAATATGGACACATAGCTCGGATACTGACTCTAAATCACCGTAATTTGGTACACATTCAAAAATGTTAGAGAAGTTACTACAATTAAATTAAGCAATATATGTTATCCGACAAGGTAAAAAAAGTTACACTAATTCAAATTACACAGCTAGCATGGCAAGCACTTAGCTAAAATCTTTTGTACAATCAGTATGATTTTAATATATTTATTTCGTTGCTTCAAAACCGTGAAGATGACTTAGCCTAAAGGCAGGCATCTGTCGTCCCCAAGCCACGCGTAAGGCCGGCAGAGCCAACGTCCTCGCGGATTGAACTCTGGACGCGCAGCGATCAATCATAAAATGGCACTTCTGTTGCGTTCGCAACAAATGACAGCGCGACCGAACGACAAAACGCATTTCCACGTAATGCACCTACCGCCCACATCCGCTTCGCGTGCGCGGAACCACGAGTTTACGGAACGGCTAGCGGAAATGCAATTTGAGCTCAATGTCCACGAGACCCGGTGCACCACTGAACCCGTCGACCGGGCGGACAAGTGGTTGCCTAGGTTTTGGCCGTCTGCGTCGTCAAAAAGTGGACACGCGACCGACCAAGCGGACAGAAAGGGCAGGGCCGCCGGCAGCACGGACGTCCATTTCCTTTGACACTCTGCGCTATGGTGCATTATGCCGTTAGCGTGAGCGCTTAGGGTAAAATCTGGGCGCGCACCCGTTCGCGTCCTGTATCGTGCCTGTATCGATGTGCAGCCGCGGCAATTCATACTG